CTACTTACCACAAGGAAGAAATGGGACAAAGTCTGAACAGGTCTTAATGGTGCCCAACCATGTTAGATTAAGACAGTGGCAGTAAAAGAGAGAAGTGAAATGGGTAAAAGGCAAGAGGGGTCCAAGAAAATGGAAGTAGTTAAAGCAAATCAATTTGGTAACCTACTATGACCCAATTAGTATGTAGGTTTGGTTAGATTTTTCTCAAGTATGGTTTAAGTCTAGTGAAGGGAAATAGTAGGAGTTAAAAGATATTAGAATTATGCAAGTTAAAGTACTAGGCTTTAACTTTGTTAACTGCTAAGCTTAACTTGACACTAAAAGCTATTTTATAAAATTGAGTTAAGCATAACCTGAAAAATTATAATATTATAGTATTAGAGCTCTCATACCTTCACTCATTTTATAGACACAATTTCAAATTTACTCTCAATCTTTTTTTTTTTACTTTTTTTCTAACATGTTATAAAAGTTAAATTTTGACACACATGAATATCATATTAGGATCCCATATCATATGGACATTAATAAAAATAGTCTTTAACAACAAACTTGGATAGTCCCATCCCTTGAGATGTACATAAATTTCACCCACTAATTTGGTTTTGTCTTTGACAACATTACTTATATATGGTTTTGACTGTATCTGTACATAGTTAAGAAAGAGATATAATGAATGAAATGTAATGACTATATAGAGTTGATTCATTTAAACGTGGAAAAGTTATCATACTGCATGACCCAATAAAAAAACCAAAGGACACAACTTAGAATAACTATTTGGCATGTCAAGTTGAAGCGTAGCATACAGATGAATTTGTTGATTGACTTTCCAATGCATAATTTGTTTGTAGTAGTGTATCATTTTGAATATATTATTCGTTCCCCATTTTATAGGGAAGTTTTAATCTATCCACATAAATGTCATCTACTGTAGTTGTAGTTGGTCTAAAATGTTGCTGTGAATTTAAGGCCTCAGCTGGAGTCAGAGACAAATATGAATTGATATCACGTGAGTTATTAATGTTGAATGAGTGTTTGACAACATATTTTTGTCAAGAATAATAATAATAATAATATGAAACAGAATCTTCCTCATGGAGTTTATGGGAGTGTGTGGTAAGGCTTGAATGAGAAACCAAAACCACTAATAGTAACGAAGTTAGTAAGTTAGAATGTGAGTATAAGGATAAAGTGATAAAGCACATGCAATTCCAGCTCAATCCTATGTAACACAACTGAGTCAATGCGATAACATATTCTTTATTCTCTTCACTCATTTGCATATCAGCTTCAACACTCCTCTTTAACGGTAACCTTTTTATTTTTCATATAACATTTTCAATTTGCGATGTCAAATGTTTTATTTTAGACTATCCTTTAATTCATAAATTCAATATTAGAAACATACAGTTGTGGTAGCACGCATGTTGCCATGTCTGTGTATATTAAACTGACTTGCCAGTTCCGTACCTTAAATATCGCTTCTCATAGTATATTATAAATATAATAAGCATATTATAAATATTGATTTTATGAAAGTGTATTTAAGAATGTCATGGAGTCTCAACAGAAATTGTATAATTCACAAAAATATGAAATGTTACTTTAATATTTTTAGTATTTTCTATGACTAATATCTAATTTCTAAAAAAATGAGAGCGACAAAAAGATATTGGATTTGAGAATCTGAGTTCAGATAGGAAACTTGAAAGTGTGATTTTCCTCCTATGCTTTACGTGAAGGATCTTCAAACCATTCTTCTCTTTCGCATTACAAAACGACAGCGCAGCAACGTAGCTTTGTTTTCTTACACTTCTTACCTTTCATACTCGCTTTCCTTCTCCTCCAGTTTCAGTTTTCCTGTCAAAGTTTGAAGCTTTTTCCCATTATTTCTCTCCCAGATAAGTTTCTTACCATTTCCAAACTGGGTTTTGTTTGTTTTCTGAGATAAACCATAGCTGACTTTCCTTTACATTCAAATCCATTTGTGTTGTCCATTTCTCTGTACTAGTTAAGATTTAATTTTGTTAGAAAAAAAATCTTAATTTGGAGAGTTACTGTGTTTAGATTCAAGCCATTTTTATTGTGGTGAGAGGATAACACAATCAATCTTCAACTTTGAGATTTTGAAGGCCTTGTAATTGGTTATCTTCTGTGTGCACTTGATTTATTTAAAGAAAGAAAATTTCTTATTGAATTGAAATTTAGTGTTGTGTTATAAGAGATAGAGAAGTAGTTGGTTGGAGTAGTAGTTTCTTTACTGTTGGATTCAAAATGGGGAAGAAAAAGAAGCAAGTAGGTGAAACAAGTGAAGATAGTGGAAATCAAAGCAAAGTGGGAGATACAAGTCCCAAAGCATATGTAAATGATGTTATGGTATCAATGTCCATGTCTCAAGAGTTGAAGGATGAGGGAAACAAGTTGTTTTGCAAGAGGGACCTTCAAGGAGCTTTAATGAAATATGAGAAAGCTCTCAAATTGCTTCCAACAAATCATGTAGGTGTGTCCAATCTGCGGAGTAGCATGGCTGCATGCTACATGCAGATGGGACTCAGCGAGTATCCACGGGCAATTCATGAATGTGATTTGGCTCTCGAAGTAACTCCAGATTATAGTATAGCTCTGTTGAAGAGGGCAAGGTGCCATAAGGATTTAAATAGGCTGGATTTAGCTCTGAGAGATGTTAGTACTGTTGTGAAGATGGAGCCAAATAATGTTACGGCTTTGGATCTCTCAGAAAAGGTGAAAAATGCACTTGAAGAGAAAGGGTTAAGAGTAAATGATACGATAATTGAGTTGCCTCCGGATTATGCTGAGCCTCCTACTTCTTTGCCTCCACAAAAGGTAGTGAAAGAGAAGACACAACAGAAGAATACCAATAAAGAGAAGGCTCCTGATAACAAAATCCCGAAAAAGCAAGATGGGGAGAAATTTGAAGAGAAGAAAGCTGATGACAGTATTGTGAAGAAGAAGACCAATAAATTCAAAAAGAAGGCAAAGGAAAAAATTGACGTGAGAAAGGCTGGTATTAAAGAAGCTGTAGATGAAAAATGTTATGGCAGAGGGGAAAGTGAACCTAAGAAAACTGCAAAACTTATTTTTGGTCAGGATATAAGGTGGGCTGAGTTGCCAATTAATTGCAGCTTCTTGCATCTAAGAGAAATTATTTGTGATCGATTCCCAAGTTTAGGATCCGTTCTTGTCAAATACATAGATCAAGAAGGTGATTTGGTTACAATCACCTCTGATGATGAATTGAGATGGGCTGAAACAGGAAATCAGGGTTCTATAAGGCTGTATTTAGTTGAAGCTAGTCCCGAGCAGGATCCAATGTTCGAAAAACTTACAGTAAAGGTGGAGAAAAAGGTCGGGATTAATAATGGACCTGAGAATGGTTCAATGGTAAAAGGAGAGGACATTATTAGCTCATCTTGCATTGAGGATTGGATAATTCAGTTCGCCAACTTGTTCAAGAACCATGTTGGATTTGAATCTGACAGGTACTTGGATTTTCAAGATCTTGGGATGAAGCTATATTCTGAGGCTATGGAGGAGACAGTTACAAGTGAAGAAGCACAAGACATACTTGACATAGCAGGAGATAAGTTCCAGGAGATGACTGCTCTTGCATTGTTCAACTGGGGAAATGTTCATATGTCTAGGGCAAGGAAGAAAGTATATTTCACAGAAGATTATTCTAAAGAACATCTATGTGAACAAATCAAAAGGTCGTATGAATGGGCAAAGAAAGAATATGCAAAAGCGGGGGAAAAATATGAAGCGGCCATTAAAATTAAGTCAGACTTTTATGAAGCCTTCCTGGCACTAGGGCAGCAGCAGTTTGAGCAAGCAAAACTTTCTTGGTATTATGCACTCAGCAGTGATGTAGATTTAGCATCATGGCCCTCCCCAGAGATTCTTCAGCTTTACAACAACTCTGAGGATAATATGGAGAAGGGAATGCTGATATGGGAAGAATTTGAAAAGAATCACTTGGGTAAAACGTCCAATTCAAAGGATGTTAGGTTACATTTGCAGAGCATGGGATTGGATGGTACATTTAAAACTATATCCTCAGATGACGTTGCTGGACAGGCGAGAAATATTAGGTCTCAAATAAATCTCCTATGGGGTACAATGCTATATGAACGTTCAATTGCAGAATTCAAATTAAAGCAACCGGTTTGGCATGAATCTCTGGAATCCGCAGTTAAAAAGTTTGAAGATGTCGGAGCTTCTCCAACAGATATAGGTGTAATGTTGAAGAACCACTGTTCAAATAATACTGCAGTAGATGGTATGTTTCCCATGATAATTTGAAACTTTGTAGTCAAGTAGATATGATTGATATATATTCACAAATGCTCACATTTTTCATTAACAGGTCTAGGATTTAAAATCGATGAAATAGTACAAGCATGGAATGAGATGTATGAAGCAAAAAGGTGTCAGAGTGGAGTTCCATCATTTCGTTTGGATCCTTTATTTAAAAGGCGAGTTCCAAAAGTTTATAATGCCTTCGAGCTTGCAAGAGTTGCATCTTTTTCTTAAAGTTGATGACGAATAATAGAGCCAACAGTCACTTAAACTGCTTCTATGCATTGTCATCCTAAGGTAACTGATATAGTTTGAAATTGACACTGGTTTTTTACTTTTATTGATTTGCTCTATGTAGTAGTTTTGGTTGTCATTAACAGTTTGGTAATCTGCATGATTTGTTCTCTGATATATCCATTTATGTAGAGTAAGTGTGCATAAATGGATCTTGCAAAAGTATCTTATTGAATTTTGAGCATTCATAAGTAGTTGTAGAATCTTGGCATCTGCCTTAAACACTTCAGTATCAAAGGTTTCATTATCTAGTGCTTAATTTTTTTTAACTGTTTCTTCTGCAAATTCATATTTCAATGCTGAAGCTGCTCAGTATATCCTTTATTTAGTAGCAGAAAATGGTTGACAAAGCATGTAAGATTCTTAGATGAATTCCTATTAAGTGCACCCTTCATGTAAAACACAAGTCCTTGTGGTCAAGGAAACTACCATGTGAATCCCTTTTAATATGTTATTTGATAAATGAGTTTGGTTGAAGTACACCCCTCACTTTAAAGAAACTAAACCCTATATAGATACCCAACTTGGTTATGTACAATTATTCATAGACAGGGAAATGCATAATTAGATTCTTGCATGCATCACGTTGTATAAGATGTGGCTCCTCTATTGATGGCCTTCCATAGTTATCCAGAACAGAAGCTATATACATATATATCTACATGAGATTGTTCATCAGAATGATAACAGAATCCTCAGCTTATCAAATTGGGAAGGTCAGCAGACTGAAGCTTCTTGATTTCAGATGCAGTGACCTTGCAAGACTCCAAGGAAAGTAATTCTTGAAATTGCAAGCAGTTAATATATCATTGACAGGCCTTCAATTTACAATCTCTGCCTGTATGACGAAATGCCATGGGAAAGATTGCAGGCAATAGGGGTTTGAAATATAGCTGCTACGTTTTTGCACATCTTGCTTCAAACATCCTAATTACCACTGGAATAGAAGTTAATTACGCATTAATATGGACAATAAAACGGTTTTAAAAAATAAAAGTTAAAACATTTTACAGCTGGCACCTCATTAGGACATGATCCTGACCAGCTTATGGGTAAACATTATATGGTCGGTTTGGTATACTTGTGAATGGAATTCATCATTGTTCTTTGATGATGAGTCTGGTGAGCTGGGTTAGTAGACCAGACAAGTAAACTTTGTTGATGCGTTAAGATTGAGATTGAATCCGCCAGTGGAAGTATTTCAAAAGGTATTCCGACAATCAAGTCAGTATATGACTGAAGAGGGAGTAAAGAGCAAGTATAATGAGAGTGAATAACAATGAATAGTAAAACAAATGATACTTCCTTATGGGGGGACTCCCCTATTTATAGTGGTGGGATATATGAAATAGCCTCTGGGGAGTGCTGTCAAAGTGACTGACCGTCTGCTTTAACCATGTCAGACGGATTTGGCAGGGTCGTACTCTATGAATAGTTGACTTGTAGTTTATTGCAGATCTGACAGTCATATTGCAGGCTTGTCCCTTGTCGTGTTGGCAGGAGGTTAGGTGAGATTTGCAAGTGACATGACAGTAAGTTGTTGGCAGCATGTTGAGCGGAATGTTCGGGCATTGGTTCCCTTATCGAGGCGTGCTTTGAAAGCCCTAGCCTAGATAAGTCCGCTACTTGACCGGTCGGGTAGGAGGTCAACCTAGACTATCAGGTTTGACTTGTTGACCGGGGTGGAACAGGTGCCCCTAGTCTAGTAGGATGTTCGCCAGTTGAGCGTGCTATTAGACTTGAGTGTTTCTGAAGATCCTCGGAGGTCGACCCGACCAACAGTTGACCAAAGCAAAATATCTAGTTCTTGGCCGGTCGGGGAGGAGGCCAATTCGGTCTATCATGGTTGTCTGGTCGACCGGGGTAGAATAGTTGCCCCCAGTCTAGTAGGATGCTCGCCAGTTGAGCGTGCTATTAGACTTGTGTGTTTCTGAAGATCCTTGAAGGTCGACCCGACCAATTGTGGATCTAACCTGTTGACTAGATGACATACTCGCGTGTGGCTTGTCGGCTCGTCTTCCTGTCTTGTTGGTCGGGTATTTAATTGTGTGTGCTTCGTTTCCCGTCTTGTCAGTCGCGTACTTAATTATGCGTGATACGTTTCCCGTCTTGTGAGCCACTTTTGTCTAAAATATCGGGTCTCTGTTAGATTGCACTCGAGTGCGTCTAAACGACAAGGAGAGAAGTTCTTCTATCATTTGGCATTCTTTCGCACGGATCATCGCGCCAACTACTGAATGAATCTCATACTTCCCTATAAATAGGGTGGACCCGTCGGATAGTGTGGAGGTCTTGTTTGGGCCTCCACCTGTCGTCAACTCGAAGTCGCTGGCACGCCGAGACCACTTCTGCATGTGGCAGGGGTCGGACCATTCCAAAAAGACCAAGCGATTTTTCGCTTAGAAATCTGTGGGCCGACTCGAGAGGGTGTAGTTAGATGGGGAGTTTTTGGTCGACCGAGTGGCCGCACTGGAGAAGTGGCTATCGGTCCCGAGTGGAAGAGTCTAGTTCATAGTCTGATGTTTCTTCTCGTCGCGAGTCAAAAATGGCGAGAAGCTACGCAGCAAAAGCCAACCGTCTGACAATACCCGGGGTGCTGGACAGACCCGATTCCCCTTATTGGTGGGTTGATCGGGATGTGTTGGGTCAGATAGTTACTTCCTATACGGAAGCAAACCCAACATTAGGATGCTGGAGCAACCCATGAACAACGTTGTTCTGATGCCCCAAAGAAGGAGGAGAGGGTCTGCCGGAACCTCATTGTCGAGGAGGGGACCGCTACGACTTCTATATGTATGACGTTTACACTTGGAAGATCGGGTTGCACCTCCCTTTCGACGAGTGGTTTGTGGACGTACTCAACCAACTTCAAGTGGCCCCTTCCCAACTCCATCCGAGTGATATCGTTGACCGCCACCAAGGGGGGACATGATCCACGCATTTGGGGTATTGCTGAATCACCGGTCAATAGGGGGCATGGTCTGTGCCTTGGGCGATATTGTTGACCGCCACCGAATGGGGACATGGTCCGTGCCTTGGGCGATATTGTTGACTGCCACCGAATGGGGACATGGTCCGTGCCTTGGGCGATATTGTTGACTGCCATCGAATGGGGACATGGTCCGTGCAAGGCGGGAGGGTTGTTGAATCACTAATCAAGGGGGACATAGTACGCGCCTTGAGTGATATTGTTGACTGCCGCCAAAGGGGGCATGTTTCACGCATTTGGGGGGTGTATTGGATCACTGATCAAAGGGGAGATGGTCCGCGCCTTGAGCGACATTGTTGACCGTCACCAAATGGGGACATAGTCCACGCATTTGGGGGGTGTATTGGATCACCGGTCAAAGGGGAGTACAAATTGAATAATTTGTGTCATATGTCCATGTTCACACACACAAACAAAGAATTATAGTTTAAAGAAATTCTAATCATAAAGAAAGAAATAGTAACTCTACTGTGCTAATGTGTTTGAGTCTGTGTTCTGAAAATTGGTCAAAATAATTGAGTGTTATCTGTCATTTAAGAATCGGAAAGGTCAACTGAAAGTAAAGATGATCCTCTTGTACAGTACCTGAAGAACACAATCAAGAAAAGCTTCTACAGGTGCTTCTGTTAAGCAGTGAGAATCCACCAATTCATTGAAGATTGGTTGGCTTATGTCTCGTGAGAATTGAAAAAGGAATTGTATTTACTAAAGAAACGGATTATTCATTTTGTATCTAAAGAAAGATCATTTGAAATTTCATATCTACTTTCACTTACTTGTATGTCTTCCTTCCTTCCTTGTATAAGAACTCTTTCATTTGTAACGGGAACATGTCCAAGAACAAAGAAAATAAAGTATTACCTTCTTGACTCATACCTTATAGTACTATGGAAGTATATACCTATGGAAGATAATACACCTTTCATGCAAGATTTACAAAACTTAAAAGAATCATATTCACACACAATAACAAACATCTATGGAATATAACATACCTTCCACGGAAGATTACTTAAACTCAATGGAAGTTTTAACATCGCATCCATAGAAGATTAACTAAAACTATATCAATGAGTTTTAACATCGCATGCATCCATGGAAGTTATAACTCTCACTCTTAGTGTTGTTTGATCTTCAAGGTCTTATTTATAACTACTTTTTAAACCGAAAAGCATTCCATACGTCAAATTCTATTTTCAAAATAAAATAAAACTAAATTGTAATATTTATGTATTATTAGTATAAATATTTATACTCAGTTATTATCATTCATCATTTATTTAAATTAATTTTTTCAAAGTGTCAATAATAATTAAATATGAATGATAAATAATATATTAATAATGTATAAAACTCATCTATACATATATCTTTTTCTTTTGTTGCATATTGGAAATGGGTGTGAACGGCCTAACACTATTTTTAAGGCAAAGAGATCATCTAGATAATATTTTTAATAAATTAATAGTCTATTCTATACACAAATTTTCTTGATTAATGGTTCGATTCATGTGAGTGACACTTGTTAAGAGATGCAGTCACACAACTCGAAAATGATTAGTTCCTTACTCTATGAGTGAGTATGGGTCGGGTTGGGACGAGTTAAGGTTTGTCCTTACTCAGCCCTAAAGGTTGGTCGGATCATTTTTTGAACTTGGACCGGACCCTAGACCTGAAGCTAACCTAACCATAAACCCGACTAGATATAATACATACTCATTTTAGATAAAGTGTTCTCAATATTATTTATTATTATGAATATGTAATTTGACATATAAAATGATATATTAATATATATTATTAATCATGTATGTATAATCACAAAATTAGAAAATCAATGATACTTTCGACAAAAAAATTGTCATTACTCTATACACATTTGAATAGAGACACATACAAATATGATGAGTGAGTGATCATAAGCCGGGTTATGCTTAGTCCCTACCATACTCTAAATATTAAGTGTGTCTAATTTTTGAACCTGAATTCGGCATAGACCTGATGAAACTCAATCATATTTAGGTCTGGTCATGATCGGGTCATATCGGGTGAGTGGGTAAGATCAAATCCTGCTCACCTCTGCCTTACCCATATACTTAAGAAATACATTTGGTAAGACCAACAAATTCTTCTCTATACCGTAAACTATTGTAGTTAGAACTTAGAAGTGGTTGAGAATGTCTCAATTAAATTTATTTTAAATTTATACATTTTTTTGTGAAATTAAAACTTATTATTATAATAATAAAGATTTCAGACCATCACCAAAAAAACATAACATTATTTTAATTTGGATAACTAAATTAGGAAATATTAAAAATAATATTGAGCTACTAAACACGTGAATTATACTGCCATTGTGGTAGCCTAGTATCATACTGCATCAGGGGTTATAGGTTTGGTGTCCCACACTTTGTCACTCCATATGCCAAAGTGAAACAAAATAAAATTAATTAAAAAATTAACAGCTCTAAAAATATCCCTCAAATTAGTTACAACAAAAGGAGGGGTGAAAGTGAGAAAGTGCAAAGAAGACTAAAATGTGATACCACAAAGTTGAAAATGGGTATCCTAAAAAAGAGGCATAATAAATTGATGTAATGCAAACTAACCAAAGATGTTTGCCTATGATACATTGCAGTTAGGTACAACCAACCAGACATGTAAATATCACGAGGATGCAACAGATCTGTTGTTCCGTCCGAGGCCAAGACCTAAGCCCTTTGGTATGTTGTCATCTTTAGTTTTGCCATTATTATTATGGCTACAATGTGAAGAATGAACATGGCCATTAATATGACCATGATGTGTTTTTGAGTTGGTGGTATTGTTGGAGTTCATATCAATAACAACATGGCCATTTCCATTGCCCTTTGTATGATCAAAATGAGAATGTGAGTCTCCATTTGTTAAGTTTGAGCCCCTTGACATGGGCACCATTCCAATACCCTCATCTGAATTACCTACTTCGATGCACTCCACATCTTCATTGTATCCATTGATCAAGAAATCGGAACAGTTCTTCTTAATACCATGATCATATGGGTTTCTAAATCTACCACCTGGACCTCTTAGGTAGCTATATCGCATTGCATTTGCCATTTCATTTGTCATAATATTGCGTGCTATCTAAGGAAACAAAGAAGAAAAAGAGAGAAGGACAGATGCTTCAGATCAAAAGAGAAAAATATTGTTTTGCATATAACCAAAAAATAAATAATAAAAACTGAACGAGGCTTCTAAAACATACCTGACTAGCCTGAACAACTGTTAAAGCGAACACACCGAAGAATAGGAAAAAATCAGCAATTAAAAATGATACTGCACCAACGTGATCCTTACCAATATACTGAATCCATGCTCCAAACGAAGAAGGAGCAAGTGGATCAGTCAATAATCCTGCAAGCAGAAAACCAGCTTCAATCAGCAGCTTAATTTACAGAAGAATGAACAATGTAACTGTATACCCTCAACATAAACATACTTGTAAGAGAAACTCCACCAGTGACCAACATTGCTGAAACTTCAAGAACAAGAAAAACAAAGAAATCCCATTTGTTCTTCTGTAATCACAGTGTAGTAAAATCAGGTCAGATTATCCAGCGTGGGAGAAAATCAGATCAATTCAATAAGTTGGAATTTTGGGGGGGAAAGGATGGCAGATATTTAAACTAGTATGGTTGCTTATATTATTATCACTCTAATAACGTGAGACAGAGGATTAATAGTCTAAAAGGGTGGTCAGTGCATGAGTCTCCGACCTAGCGGGGTATGTGGAGGCAAATGTACACAACCTTACCCTCGCAAGTGAAGTTGTTGTTTTCCATATTTGAACCCATGACATCCAGGTCACAAGGCAAACAACCTTACCGTTGCGTAAGGACTTACTAGATTTAATACTCAAACCTAACTAAAATGATTTACTGAATGTAAATGGGATATTGTAAGAACCAATTCAAATAGATCATCTTAGACAAGTAGCTGCAGCTATAAAACAGATTTAAACTAAATATTCACTAACTCCTCCACCCAATCAAGACTAATTAATCTAAACTGTTTGCAACATATAAATTCACATGATAATGTATCACCAACTAAGGACTTCTCTTTCTTTGGAATAAAAGGTTCATTTATTAACAAGTGGCATGCTTCATACTTGAGGTTCATGATGTGTATAAAACATATATTTGAGAAGGAGAAAAGAGAACAGAATAAATGTCTGAAACTAATTTCTCTCTTCCATCCCCTTTTTTTTGGTTGAAGTCGGTGACAACATGAAAAGTTTAATATAGTCAATTAACATTTAAATGAAAAGCATGCAGATGAAGAAAAAAATCATCCAGAAGTACCTTGCCAATGCAATTTGATACCCAAGGACAATGATGATCAAATTGTTCCACACAACGATCACAGGTAGAACAGTGTTTTGCACGAAGAGGTCTGACAATCTAAACAAAAAGCAGTATGAAAATGTGTACAAAATGAAGCAAGGATAGATGGGCACTTTCATCTGTGTGTGCAAGATATTGAGTACAGGAGATGGATGCTTCACACCAAGAAATCAGGTAATCTAAAGAAAGCAGAAAGAACCTTGCATGTTGCACAAAGCTGGGACCAGTTTCCAGCTAGCAAAGCAGGATTATTTATCTCAATCTTCAAGAGAGGCTCCTGCAATTAATCAATCAACCTTTTAAAGTCAATTACGTATAGAATTGACATAAATTTAGAACAAATCAACAGGAGACTGGTGTGCTCAATACATAAAAAACCACAAAGGAAATAGAAGTCATAAAATCCAGGGATCGAGGATGCTGCTGAGATTCAAAGTAGAGACCAGGAAGAACAGAACAAAACTCACATCATCTTTCATATTCTCGGTGTCATACGCATTCATTTTGACATAACCTGGATCCTTGCTGTAAAAAAGGGAGGGAAAGATTATGAAAACAAAATAAACTGATAAAAAAAGCATCTTAAAAGAATTAAGTCAGACATTCAGAAACAAGTTGCTACTGGTCACAAAATAGAAACCGAAAAATTAACTAATATGGGCTATGCATGTCTTATGTTGGTCAGTTCATACTCTACATTTCCTTCATATATTGACCACCGTACAAAAAAATACCTCCTCAGAGTGAGTGCCATCAACATTGTTTTCTTGAAAACTTGAAAACAAAGGATAAGGAAATGTTGGCCATCAGATGCCAAACAATCACAGACATGAGTTTAAGTAGTTCACAGTGTACAAGTAGGTTGCTTGGAGAATATAGACCAAGAAGCAAGCATCAATGGATGGCAAATGGACAGATCTGGAAACGGTGCTAACCTCCACAAAAAGGTGAAGAATCTAACATTCCCTTAGACACATGAAAACCAACTTAGTCCAAACCACTTGCACACAGCCAATGAGAAACAATCTCCTCTATACAACTCACATGAAAAAGCAGAATAGTCCGGCCAAAACACATGAGTAATGCATTGGGATATTGGATAGCCAAACTAGCATAGGTCTACATAATAATACTTACATAGTTCAAACCACCGAAATCCAACCATTTTAAAGCCATGTTATGTCATTCTTAATTGCTTCATTATGATTAGACAGTACAAGAAGACAAAAAAACACCGAGTTGTTACATAAAACGTAAAAAATGTCTCTGGAATCATGAGAAGATGAATCAAAGTCATTAAGTTTTTAGAAAATATAAATAATCAATGTTCTTAGACATATAAAATAGCCTGGAAGTATTCGTCTGAAGCTGTAAACTTTTAACTTTAAAGACTACATTGCTTACCTGCTACACGTGTAAAACATAGCCAATCCCACAGTTGCAAGTAAAACTCCAAGCCATGCAAGAAGAGCAGCAGCAGCTGTCAGCTTTGGCAGATTTGTTGCTGCAGAAAAGATTCAAATTATAGTAAGGCACACAGGTGCTCACATGCACAAATAATTTATTTCAAATTTGGAAGTTAAGGTGGATACCCAAGATGACAGAATGAATATAGGTGATCAAGAGCACAAAAATTATACACCATAGTACAGGAGCAAGTCCTAACTTGGAAATCTTTCCAAGGCGGCTGTTCCTATCACAACGTTGGTCAAGCAGTCTTCGG